TAAAATTAAACAAAATTAAAAATCCCAACGTCGAACAATTTGTTTTCAATTTTTTTCACGATCAACGAGGCTGAACGAGTTATATCAGTTAATGTTCATTGGGCGTTATAACAATCGCGAGCAACGTTGAACCACCGTTAACTTCGCTGGAGAAACAGTTTGGAAATTGTATTAAACATTAGGATTAGCGTGGCGCTTTTAAACACGATAAAATCGCAACGTTTCGCGAGCATTGTGCGCGAAAGTTGATGGACGAGGAGGGGAGGAGGGGAAGGAAAAGTTTTCAACTCCCAGACGACCGTTATCGGGAAAAACTCCGGATGGAAAAGATTAAAAACAAACGCGGACGAAATTCCCGCGGGGGGATAAAATAATATGGCTGGGCATTATCAAGATAAAAACGCTACATGCCACTACGTAACGTACGAATCATATTATATAATTACGTAGAATGACGTGATTATATAAGGGTAACAAGAAACTACGAATTGCACGTCGTTCTTTCTTTTTTCTTTAAAAAAAAAAAAAAAAAAACGAACAGGGTGAAAATGTATTTTTTCTAAATTTCGCGCGTCTCGCAAAGAATGATGAATGTGGCTTGTTAAATACAATCGGATGGATATCGTGTACGATAAGTGCTGTTGCTTACAAAAGTATTCGATCGCTTTTTTTTCCTGAAAATATACGTGTAAAAAATCTCAAAATTTCATTAACACAGTAATGAAATCAGAGTATCGTAATTACATTGGCTCTGCTTGAAAAAGATATGTACATATAGGAATCACGGGGACACGCATGAAAGTTGGCAGAGAATTTTTACATACGGAATGTTTCGATTATTTCATAAACGTACGTAAATGTTCTTTCATAGCTCCTCTGGTGAAAAGTTTTCAATGAAGTGACGCAAGTGGTGCAGAGTATTTTTAAAAGCAATGAAACCTTTCGTGTCCATGAACTGAACCGCCAATTTCATTATCAACAATTGTAACAGTATTTCAATGATTGTGTATGTGAATGTATATTCCAAGGTATTTGATACCAGTGAAAATCTTTCGCAATCGAGAATTAAATCGGAATCACTGATTTCATTTTCTCGTGTATTTTCAACAATTACAAGAGAGTTTCATGCCTCCAAGTTCGTGCATGTATTTGAATGTATTTAAAAACAATGAAATTTTTCGCGAATTAAATTTTCGGGAATCACTAATTTCTCTCATTTAATCTCAACGATCTAACAGTATTTCAAACAATACGTACATGAATGTATTTACAATGAAATCTTTGTTTGTAAAATAAATCATTGATTTCATCGTCTCATGTATTTTCAACAATTGTAACAACAAATTCCATGCCTCAAGGATTACATTGCCGAACGCAATTGAATGCACTTTCCAATGTTCGCGTCTGATCCGAGAGAACTTTTTGTTCAGAAATGTACAGTTAAACGTACGAATAGTTCCGTGAGACGCTATACGCGTATTAATCGCAGGAAGATGGCAGTCCTTAATATTCCCATCAACGTAACGAAGGAGCAATAACCCGGCCGGTTTTGCACAACCCTTTCCCCCCTCGCCGCCACCCCCTTTCTGCACTCTGTTCCTATCAGAAACTTGGTTCGCGTGACTGCATAGCAGGAGGCGCGGCGAGTTATGCTTTTAAAATCCTGTTACCAGTTGCGAGCGCGAAATTTAACAAAGAAACTTACAGATTAGTTTCGCGAGATATAATTGGACGTAGTGGTTGGAACTGTGCCTTCATAATAATAATTGGAGGAACCGT